TTTATATATTAACTTCTGATTTTATCCATTTCCAGTTATCTTCATTTTTTCCTCTGAATTGTCATTATACTTTGGTGTCATTTAGCATAACTCCCTCATGCTTTTTTGTGTTATAATTTTCAAATATATTTCTGAATGTGATAGGCTCAAGGATATAATTTGATAATTATTGTTTTATGCAATTAAAAAATAAGTTAACAAAATAAAAGAAAAGTAATATGCACAATCACCACTAGTCTGTCAACCTGACATACTGTGGTGGCATGATTGTTGCTATGATGCTGAGAGCTATGCCATGGGTATTTCAAATACCAGCAGGATCACCCATGGTTGACAGGGTTCAGCTGAACTTCCAGACTAAGACAGACTAGAAAGAAGGAGAGACAAACTACTTCTGAATGTTTAGCCACTGAAAACCTATGAATAACAGCAGAATATTGTCAGATATAGTGTCATAAGATGAGTGCCTCAGGTTGGAAGGCACTCAGAATACTATTGGGAAAGAGCTACCGCCTCAAAGTAGAGTTGACGATAATGACATGAATGGCATAAAGCTTTTATAATTTTCATTTGCTGATGTGTAACAACTCAAAATGAGGACAGCATCCACTAAAACTCATAATGTAATAGGTCAGAAGTATATGAGTCTAGAAAAACTGGAAGTTGTAAAAAATGAACTGGTACACTGTGAAGATTGATATCACAGGCATTAGTGGGCTGAAATGCCTTCTATTGGCCGTTGCATTACTATGCTGGGTATGACCAAATGAAGAGGAACGGCATCAATTTCACTGTCATGAAGAACATTTCAAGACCCACCTTGAAGTACAATGCTGTTTGTGATAGGATAAATATCCATATACTTACAAGGAAGACCAGTTAATATCACTATTGTTCAAAGTAATACACCAGTCCACTAACACCAGTGATGATAAAATTAAAGAATTCAATCAACTTCTTCTGTCTGAAATTTACCAAACATGCAATCAAGATGTATTGTTAATTACTGGTGATTGGAATGTGAAAGTTAGAAACAATGAGCAAGGCTCAGTAGTTGGAAAGTATGGCCTCTGCAAGAGAAATGAAGTTGGAGACTGAATGATAGGATTTTACAGTACCAAAGGCTTATTCACAGCAAATACATTTTAAAACAACATGAAAGTTGATTATACACATGGACCTCATCAGATGGAATGCACAGGAATCAAATTGATTCTATCTGTGGAAAAATACAGTGGAAAAGCTCCATATCATCAGGCAAAACAAGAACAGGGACAGAGGGTGAAACATGCCATCAATTGCTCATATACAAGTTCAGACTTAAGTAGGAGAAAA